TTGTCCTTGTCAGTCGTGTCATTGTTGTTGTCGTCTCAGTAGAACTGTTTAGTCCTGTGACGGCGTTAGCTCTCATGCCAGTCTTATTAGTTGCTATCAGTGCTGAGTTTTTTTTCCCGTTCTGCCGAGCTGCCTGTGTTCTGGACTCTTCGAGCTGCTCTTCGGGTCCTGCCTGCGTCTCTTCACCGTCTCCACCATACATTATGACAAAAGCTGGACATTTAGAAAACCTGTATTCTATTTTTGAAAATATTTTAAACATATACTCATTTTCTGTCCTAATTTCTAGTCGATGGGACGAGCATGAAAATCATATATGAACTGAAAAAAATTTGAGAAACCAGTAAAAAACATTAGTCTGTCAAATTCCATTGTCAAAATCAGCAATACACTTCAAATATGTTCATCAATGTTCTATTTATGATTGTTCAAAGCAACACTAAACAGGTGGGGTTTTAGTCTTTATTAAAGGAACTCAGTGTTTAGGCTGTTTTGCAGTTTTCTGGAAAACACAGTGTGTGTAAAAGAAAATAAAGTCCAAATATTGGAGTATTGTTAAAATTGTTTCATTCTTCTGACTTAAATATTGTGTTTTTATCTCCTCTTGTGTGTGTATGTAGTTACACCCCAGTTATCAAGTAGACATTAATCCAGGTATTTCTGCAGGCCGTGTAATATGGGATGGTCCTAATGTTCATCATTCTTCCTGCTTTATAAGGCATAATTCCTTTTGCATCACTTCCATATAAACTTGAGCATCGGATTACCCAAAAGTAAAGTTGCTTCCTTCATATGCTGTCAACTTCTGTTTAATACGTTTCTAGAGCTTTAAAAAAACAGACCAAAAGATAAGCCATTCTAAAATCTAACCTTGGGCAACAGAACTAACTCAGTCACCATATTTCTGCATCTAGACTTTTTATGATGTTCTCCTCCAATAAAGCTCAAGGCATCAGTGTCCTATAGTGGATGTTGAACACAGTTTCGCGGTGGTATGTGCTTTTCCTCTGCTGTTTATTTCATAGAATGCGTCCAGATGGTGTGTGTGTGTGGAAAAAAAAAATCTCACAGTGGAGAACTGGCAGTAATAAACGGACTGACTGTTTCGCAACATTTGGCGAAGGACCCTCAGTCAGTACATTTTTTTTTCTGCCAATGACCGTCATTTCACGGTTTTCTTGATTGTGAGTAGGTTTAAACAATTAATCGGTGTGTGTGTCTGCACCGTTGACTGACTCATCCAGCCAATAGCCGCAAGACGCAGTGTGTGGCTGTCCATGCCTTTTGCTAAATATGCTAATAGCCCAACACCTGTTTGGATAAAAAAGAAAATGCACATCTCCCCTGTCAGGCGCCCAGACCCCCACTCCGCGAAGGGTACAGAGCGAAACAAGTTGATTCTTTACATTGAATCCTTAGTTTGGAGGGGGTTCCTGGATGTGAGCTCATGGTGAATGTTTCTCCCGTTCCTGTCAGTTTTCTATCTTCTTAGATTCATTAGATTGACTCCAAATCAAAGACATCTGTCTTTTCTCTCTCTCCGCTCAGTGATGGAGCCCATGACGGTGACAACGTCAGTGGTTGGACCCGATGAGTTTGACCGCAATGCCCCGCGGATCTGCGGCGTGTGCGGGGACAAGGCCACCGGCTTCCACTTCAATGCCATGACTTGTGAGGGCTGCAAGGGCTTCTTTAGGTGCGTTTGGGGTTTTTTAGTGTGACATTTTCATATTTCATGTAATCTAGGTAGGTTATTTGCAATCTGTCATCTTAATAAATGAAAGCACAGCCTTTTAAATGAACCTTTTTAAGTCTCGGGTTCCATTTCTAAGATTTTGTGATGTACTTAGTTTTCCAAACTTGGACCTGGTAAAGACCAGAACATATTAAAACCCTGGAAATGACAAAGACTTATGTTTCCATTTAAGTTTATTTCTTAGTGACATTTAAATGCAGCTGATCTGTTTGCTTTTGGTCATTGGTCAATAGCCATAATGAGGTCAGCTGAATTTTACTCTATTATTTCGTTACCTTCCTAAAATAATGGCCCATGTCATTTTTTGCCAAAAGTGTGTTTTTTTGTTTTTTTACCTTTATCATCAGGCAAAAAGAAGTGGTGATTTTTTTTAATTCATTTTTTTAATTGGACTCAATTAGGACTGAAACAATTAATCAGATTAATCGTGAATAATCATTTATGGAAATAATTCTCAACTACTTTAGTAATCAATTAATCATTAACTGAAGTATACTGACTTAAAAAAAAAACAATTTCCTAGGAAAAAAACATAGCACTGTAATTAAGCCAAAATCTGTACAAAATATACATTTTGCACTGAAGATAAAATCAAATATGTAGATTCCTAAAACTTCTCAAGTGACTTTTTTATATTCACAAAGTGCAAAAAATGCTAATTTTTTGCACTCTAGGCAAAACATGTTTATTTTATTATTTAAAGAAAGAATTTTATTATTTTTATTTACATCTCTTAGTGTATTTCTAATATCGTATAAAAAGCCTTGGAGTTAAATGAAAAATCTGTTTAATGTGCCAATTTCTTTATCAGATTATTTGATTAATCGTCAGAATAATCGATAGATTAATCAATTTACTAAAATAATTGTTAGGTGCAATCCAAGACTGAATGTATTTTCCTGCTACTTTGACTGAATAGTTTTATTACACTGGAATGAATTGGATGATTTTATTTCAAGTTTGGATTGATTTGCATTTCTTAGAACTCAATTTAAATTAGAATAATTTGTCTTTTGAAATGGCAGTTATTTTAAGCTTAGAAACTGAACTGAAAGACTGAATTAAATCTCTACGGAGTTTTTATCATATTGTTTCTAAAAATGCACCAATCAGGGTTTTGCTGGTTGAGAACAATTTCCTGGTTGTCCTGAGAACTGAATCTGATGATTCATTTTTACGGACTATATCCCATAAAAAAATTCTGGTTTTGATTTACAGCAATAAATTAAAGCAGTGCAAGAACCTGTGCATTGCACAACTTGTTCCTGTTTGCCTCGTTAACACGTTGGACAGTTGTTGCAATTAGTTTTCAGTATTTGACCTACAGATCAAAGACGATTGTAGATTCTGTTAGAATCAACAATGTAGTTATACTTTTAATACCACTGCTAATAACAAAAAAAAAATTCTGGACATCTTTAAGTTTACTAAGTTAGGATAAAATAAACATTTCTGTATTTTTCAGTTCATTTTTCAGCTCCTCTTGAACATGTTGGTGTTCCCTGCCTGCACATTAGCAGAGGGCTCTGTGAATAAGTCACTAATGCATGTGTGCTGTTTTGAGGTGGAGGTTCACAATGACTTCATTTCATGCGACCATGTGAGCCTTGCTTTTAGTGCTGTCAGAGACATATTCATTATTCATTCGAGCCACTAATCCCTACCACTAACTCAAGTGTGAAGGATGAAAACATACTTACTTCCACAGAAACTGTGATTTTAAAAATACATTTACAGCACAATTTATTCCTGTTAATTTAACTAATGTGAAGTTCTCTTGTACCTCTAAAATCGTGACTATTTTTGTTTTTTTTGTAATTCAAATTTTATTGATTTTCTGAACACTGTCTCACATAAAGCACAAACACAAAACAAAAAAGGCTGGTGCACCCCACCCCCCACCTCAATACCCAGGTTACAGTCATATCATATGTATGTTACAGTGTTAATTCAAAAACAATCAGTAGTTGGGAGAAAGTTAGTTGTCCGGGAAAATCAAGCTTCATCCAGATGCATTATTCAAAGCCGTAGTTCTTTTCAATGAGTCCCAAAAGCTATCCCATTCCATGTCCCTGTTCCCTTCCATGTTGTTGAGCATGGCTTCATAAGAAGCTGTATCCGTCATTGATTTAATCCATTCATTTAGCTCGGGACACTTTGTGGTCTTCCAATGTCTTAAGATGATCCTGCAGGCTGTCACCAGACCTACCACCACAACTGTAAAAGCTCCTTTTGGGGTGTTCGGCATTTGAGATCTGTCTCTCAGTAAACACAGTTCTGGAGTCTGAGGTATCTCTGAGCCAAGCCATGCACTCAGAGCCTCCAAGATTTTAATCCAAAATGGTGAAACCAGAGAGCAGTCCGAAAAACAATGCAAATATGTGCCCACCTTTTTCTTACATTTCCAGCATATTGTTTGACATTATTTTCATTCTATGTAACCTAGTAGGCGTATGATAATATCTATGTAGCACCTTATACTGTATACATTTACTTCTGGCCTCTTTCACATATTTACCACTCTCTGACAGTACACTCAACCATCTTTTTTTGTATACTCTTCTCAAATATTTCTGCCATAGAAGTTTAATATTTGATGATTCACTACTCAAATTATAACTTAGCAGCTTATAAAATTGAGAGGCAGTGTGTCGTTCACGCGGCATCTTAATATAATTCAATATAACATTTTTTACAATCTTTTTAAATTTTGAGGTAACATAATGTCTCATCTGTAGGTATTTCCAAAAAATTTCTCTACCTTCCAAATTAAATATGTGAGTAAGTTCGTTGAAGGACATGAATTGCCCGTCTTTGTCTAAATCACCAATGGCGCATATGCCACGTGAATGCCACTGCCTCCAAAACACAGGTGTTTTACCAATACATATAGCAGGATTAATCCAGAGAGACACATATTTCTCTACCTGATGTGGAAGCTTTAACAGTTTGTGTACCTTTGACCAAACTTTACAAGAATGAACATAAACTGGGTTTGTTGTGTCAATCTTTTGAGATAATTTGTGTTTAGGGTCAAACAGCAAACAAATATCCCTTTCAATATGTAACCATTCCTGCCTGTTCTCACCTTCCCAGTGTTTAACTAATTTTGCCATCTTAAATGACAAGCAATAGAGTTTAGGATCCGGAGGTCCTAGGCCGCCCTTTTCCTTAGGAGCATACAGTTTTTCTAGTTTTATTCTCGCTCTTTCACCTTCCAACAAGAAATGTTTAAGTAAATTTTCATACTTTTTAAAAATATCGAGTGGAATTGTAATAGGAAGCATCATAAGCACATAATTAAACTGAGGGGTGGTAATCATTTTTATAACATTAATCTTACCCCATAGTGTTAGTTTTATCTTCTCCCACTTTTCAAAGTTTGTTTTAATTTTTGAAAGCACTTGATTAAAATTTAGTGAAGGTAACACTTCCAACTCCCTACAAAGTCTAATCCCAAGATACTTCATGCCTTCAGGTACCCATTTGAATTTAAAATCTTTGACTATGTGTGAATTACATAAAGAGGACAATGGCATGGCTTCAGATTTAGCCCAATTTATTGAGTACCCTGAAACTGTCGAATACATCTGTATAGTGTCCATTAGGTGCGGCAAAGATGTAAGCGGATGTGTTATAAGTGATAAAATATCGTCCGCATATAAAAGCAGTTTGTGTTCTTGTTGTCCCTATAATATCCCTTTGATGTCCTTATTTATCTTAGTGCTCACTGCTAAAGTTTCAATAAACATGATGAATAACAATGGACTAAGAGAACAACCCTGACGGGTCCCACGTGATAAGTTAAAAAGGGATGAGATAGTGCCATTAGTTATGACAGCAGCCTTTGGTTCCTTATACAATATTTTGACCCATTTAATAAAAAATGGTCCAAATCCAAAATTTGAGAGATCAGAGGAGAAGCAGGTTTTCATGAAGCCTGTCTGATTCTGATGAATAATACTAGGAAGGACTTGTTGTAAGCGCACAGCCAGCACCTTGGTTAATAGTTTATTAAATGTGGACTGTAAAATAATTGGCCTATAATTTGCCGGGTCTGTGCTATCCCTATCTTTTGTTTGGAATCAAGGATATCCGAGCTTCATTAAAAGTAGGAGGCAGCTATCCTCTCTCAAAAATCTCTTGATACACCTTTTGTAACACTGGAGCAAGAATATCTATATACTCCTTGTAGTATTCTGATGGAATACCATCACAACTGGGGGATTTCCCCACCTTCATCCCTGAAATTGCCTTCCTAATCTCCTCTTCAGTAATTGGTGCTTCCAACCACTCTACATGCTCCTGAGATAGCCTTGGTAGATTGAGTTTGGAGAGAAAAGCATCACTTTCTCTTTGGTTTGTCTCGTTAAACACTGAAGATGTATACAATGTTTCGTAATATTGTTTGAAGACATTGTTTATGTCTTTTGCTGAGGTTACTAAAGTATCTCCTTGTTTAATGGCAATTGTGTTAAAAAAATCCTCTTTTTTAACTTGTCTTGCTAATAATTTGCCCGTTTTCTCCCCTCCCTCAAAGAATGAAGATTTTAACCTAAACAGAGAATATTCCACTTTTTTGTTATAAATTTCATTTAACTGAAACTTAAGTCCACACATATCTCGATAAAGTAAATCATCATAACATCTAGCCAAATTGTTTTCTTTAAGTTTGATTTCTCTTTACAATTTACCAATTTTACATAGACTCTATTTTTTCTTCCATGAAGTATATGCTATAAGTTTACACCTCAGGAATGCCTTAGAGGCCGCCCATGCAGATTGAACATGGTCTGTACTGCCAGTATTTATTTCAAAATATTATCTCAGGTCCTGCCCCAACTGTTCTTTAAAGGGTTTGTCCTGTAAGAATGAGACATTCATTCTCCATCTCGAACCTCTTATATTCCCCAGTCCTAATCTTATGCATAATTCCGTAGCTGCATGGTCAGTGAGTGCAATAGTTTTAATATCAAAGCTCCGCATATTATTTACTATGAGTTTTGAAATCAAAAACAGATCGATCCTAGAATAGGATTTATGACAATGAGAATAAAATGTGTACTCTCTTTTAGACAGATTAATTAACCTCCAAACATCTACTAGACCCACATCTTCCTTTAGCATATGAACTGCATCCCTTCCTTTAGAGCTAAGTGAACCTTTTGATGTGCTATTATCAAGAATAGGATCCATAACTTCATTGAAATCCCCTGCTAATATTGTTTTAATTAATTAATTAATTAATTAAAACAATTAATGTTTAATATTGTTAATATTATTCTTCCATAGCCCCCAATATACTATTTATATTGTGGAAAAAGTTAGGGTCCTCTTTATTGGGTGCATATATGTTGCAGAGTATACCTTTACCCCTTCTATCATTGCTTCAACGCAAACTATTCTTCCCTCTGTATCGTTAGCTTGTTTTATCAATGAAAACTGAATATTTATCTTAATAAGAATAATTACACCATTGCGAGCACTTGAGAGCTATGAAAAATATGTCCTACCCAACCTGTCTTAAACTTGGACTCTTCCCCCTCATTTAGGTGAGTTTCTTGGAGAAATATTATATCGGCTTGATTTGTCTTTAAATAAGCCATTATTTTGCGCCTTTTGGCTGGATTTCCGCATCCATTAATATTCCAAGATGTGAATTTTATATACTTCCCAGTCATTACAGATTATAGATTGATACACGTTTTAAACCTGTAACAAAACACTTTGAACAGATATATCTATACCCCTGTCTCCTGATCCCTAATCTACTCTGTGAGTGCACCCAGCCAAAATGAAAATAATTTGCACGGGCAATAAACATTCCCGTCATGTAAACGGATAGAAACAACATTAAAAAAAGGAAGAAAAACAAAAAAAACAAAACACAACAACTTAAAACCTACTCTATTGCTACTGTCTACGGCAGCTTCGCTCTGTTCATGATGACAGGTGGCGAGGTCCGCCTCCCGACAGTCAAACACAGCAACTTCTATGGGGCTCCTAGGAATTAGTCAGTTGAATTTGGGGTGTCCTCCCCCTGCTCGTTCTCCTCCCGGCTCTCCTCATTGAAAAACTTCTCTGCTGCTTTCGCCGAGCTGAAGCTTATGTTTTTACCCTTCCACCTCACGCGCAGCGTGGGTGGAAACGCCAGGGTGTATTTAGCGTTGCGCTCTTGCAACTTCTTTTTCAATGCGGTGAAAGCCTTCCTCTTCTCTGCCAGTTCTTTAGTCATATCCGGAAACACTGATAGCCTGCATCCTTGCGACTCAAACCCGCGCTTCTCCTTAGCTGCCATAATCACTTTATCCCTCACTGATTGCCTCAGGAATCAAATAAGAACCAGTCTCGGAGCTTGGGTCGGGTCGGGTAACGGTGCGAAGGCCTGGTGGGCTTGTTCAGTCTCAAACTCGGCGTCATCACAAACTCCAAGACCCTCGGTTGGCATCTTCCGAACACAGCTCAAAAGTGTCCCATCAGTACCGATAGTCTCTTTTAACCCAATAACTTTCACATTATTCCTCTTACTGTGATTTTTGAGAACTTGCATGCGGTACAACATAGCTTCCATTAGCTTGCTTCTCTCACCAACTGCGGTGTGCAGCCACTCCGAAGTGTCCTCCAAGCGGGAGATGCGTGTTTCAGCCTCCGTTAGCCTTTCTTGCATTGCAGCCACCGCTGTATTCAATTCCGACGTCATCTGCTTTATTGTGGAGACATCAGCAGCTACGCTTTGTAGCATGTTACTCATTTTGACCACTTCCGAGAACAAATTCGTTATATTAGGAGGAGGAGGTGTTTCCCCCTGTTCTTCCTCATGTGGAGGGCTATTGCGGGTCGACATGCGGCCTATACTCTTTGAGTGTTTCGTTGCGGCCATTGCAGGATTAAAGTACTTTTTTCCCCAAAAAGAAGTCCACAAGCCTATACTGCTCCCTCACTTGCTGAGAACGGTATCAAATAAGAGCCCCTTACTACAATATCGTCATCTAATTACATGTCGGGAATGGAGAGCCGTTAGCCAGCTGCCATCTTGTTTGCCTGCCCACGTAACTCTAAAATCGTGACTATTAAAGAAATAATTATTTTTCTTTTTATTCAGTAACAAGATTTTATTTTTATTTTTTGCATTCATACAGACGCAGCATGAAGCGCAAAGCCTCCTTCACCTGTCCGTTCAACGGGAGCTGCACCATCACAAAAGACAACCGGCGCCACTGCCAAGCATGTCGTCTTAAACGCTGCATCGACATCGGCATGATGAAAGAATGTGAGTATGGTGATCTTTCTGCTGAAGATGTGCTCCCATGGTGGGGAGTTGGAGGTAGGAGTGTGAGGCCACAGGAAACAGGACATGACGATAATAAGGCTTGTTTCCTCTTTGAATTAGTCATGATTGATATAAACTTGGTCAAGAATTGTTGTAAACAAACATGCCGCACTATCAAACTATGTCATAGAAATGTCAAAATGTATTCAAGTTACATTGGGACTTGGGATTACTTTGAGCTAGTCTTCAAATCTGTCTGCATGATTGGTTTGACTTCGGTCTTTCCAGGCGAGCAGAATAGACTCAAAAGGTTTGTTAGTACACTGCTACCAGAGCAGGAAATGAAGTGGAAACTGGATTAGTTGTATCAGGTTGTAACAAGGTCAGGGAAAACAACAAAACACACATTCAATAGATCAGCTTTTGCTTACTGTTAGATAAAGATATTCATTACAGATTCACATTTTCCTTTAGTCTGTAAAATACCCACCAAAAATTAGAGCTGACTCTGCATGAATTCATTCCTTATAATCACTACTAAGAAAAGACAACAAGAATATTCATTTGGATCAGACTTTTAAACAAAGTAATTAATGCACTGCTGGCTGGAAGAAACCTCTGTTCACCCCTTTTATTTGTGTAGCTGCGATTCACAACAAATCCCAGTTGAAAGCCATTATTTCCATTAGCAAAACAGGTTTCATTCGTAACCAAGTGTATAGAATCCAATTTAGACCAAATTCATAATCAATGCGGTTTGATCTCATCAGTATAGTTATAAAACCAAATTAACTTTCCCTGTTAAAGGGTTGGGGCTAACATGTGNATTGCCTTCCTAATCTCCTCTTCAGTAATTGGTGCTTCCAACCACTCTACATGCTCCTGAGATAGCCTTGGTAGATTGAGTTTGGAGAGAAAAGCATCACTTTCTCTTTGGTTTGTCTCGTTAAACACTGAAGATGTATATAATGTTTCGTAATATTGTTTGAAGACATTGTTTATGTCTTCTGCTGAGGTTACTAAAGTATCTCCTTGTTTAATGGCAGGGATTGTTAAAAAAATCCTCTCTTTTAACTTGCTAATAATTTGCCCGTTTTCTCCCCTCCCTCAAAGAATGAAGATTTTAACCTAAACAGAGAATATTCCACTTTTTTGTTATAAATTTCATTTAACTGAAACTTAAGTCCACACATATCTCGATAAAGTAAATCATCATAACATCTAGCCAAATTGTTTTCTTTAAGTTTGATTTCTCTTTACAATTTACCAATTTTACATAGACTCTATTTTTTCTTCCATGAAGTATATGCTATAAGTTTACACCTCAGGAATGCCTTAGAGGCCGCCCATGCAGATTGAACATGGTCTGTACTGCCAGTATTTATTTCAAAATATTATCTCAGGTCCTGCCCCAACTGTTCTTTAAAGGGTTTGTCCTGTAAGAATGAGACATTCATTCTCCATCTCGAACCTCTTATATTCCCCAGTCCTAATCTTATGCATAATTCCGTAGCTGCATGGTCAGTGAGTGCAATAGTTTTAATATCAAAGCTCCGCATATTATTTACTATGAGTTTTGAAATCAAAAACAGATCGATCCTAGAATAGGATTTATGACAATGAGAATAAAATGTGTACTCTCTTTTAGACAGATTAATTAACCTCCAAACATCTACTAGACCCACATCTTCCTTTAGCATATGAACTGCATCCCTTCCTTTAGAGCTAAGTGAACCTTTTGATGTGCTATTATCAAGAATAGGATCCATAACTTCATTGAAATCCCCTGCTAATATTGTTTTAATTAATTAATTAATTAATTAAAACAATTAATGTTTAATATTGTTAATATTATTCTTCCATAGCCCCCAATATACTATTTATATTGTGGAAAAAGTTAGGGTCCTCTTTATTGGGTGCATATATGTTGCAGAGTATACCTTTACCCCTTCTATCATTGCTTCAACGCAAACTATTCTTCCCTCTGTATCGTTAGCTTGTTTTATCAATGAAAACTGAATATTTATCTTAATAAGAATAATTACACCATTGCGAGCACTTGAGAGCTATGAAAAATATGTCCTACCCAACCTGTCTTAAACTTGGACTCTTCCCCCTCATTTAGGTGAGTTTCTTGGAGAAATATTATATCGGCTTGATTTGTCTTTAAATAAGCCATTATTTTGCGCCTTTTGGCTGGATTTCCGCATCCATTAATATTCCAAGATGTGAATTTTATATACTTCCCAGTCATTACAGATTATAGATTGATACACGTTTTAAACCTGTAACAAAACACTTTGAACAGATATATCTATACCCCTGTCTCCTGATCCCTAATCTACTCTGTGAGTGCACCCAGCCAAAATGAAAATAATTTGCACGGGCAATAAACATTCCCGTCATGTAAACGGATAGAAACAACATTAAAAAAAGGAAGAAAAACAAAAAAAACAAAACACAACAACTTAAAACCTACTCTATTGCTACTGTCTACGGCAGCTTCGCTCTGTTCATGATGACAGGTGGCGAGGTCCGCCTCCCGACAGTCAAACACAGCAACTTCTATGGGGCTCCTAGGAATTAGTCAGTTGAATTTGGGGTGTCCTCCCCCTGCTCGTTCTCCTCTAGGCTCTCCTCATTGAAAAACTTCTCTGCTGCTTTCGCCGAGCTGAAGCTTATGTTTTTACCCTTCCACCTCACGCGCAGCGTGGGTGGAAACGCCAGGGTGTATTTAGCGTTGCGCTCTTGCAACTTCTTTTTCAATGCGGTGAAAGCCTTCCTCTTCTCTGCCAGTTCTTTAGTCATATCCGGAAACACTGATAGCCTGCATCCTTGCGACTCAAACCCGCGCTTCTCCTTAGCTGCCATAATCACTTTATCCCTCACTGATTGCCTCAGGAATCAAATAAGAACCAGTCTCGGAGCTTGGGTCGGGTCGGGTAACGGTGCGAAGGCCTGGTGGGCTTGTTCAGTCTCAAACTCGGCGTCATCACAAACTCCAAGACCCTCGGTTGGCATCTTCCGAACACAGCTCAAAAGTGTCCCATCAGTACCGATAGTCTCTTTTAACCCAATAACTTTCACATTATTCCTCTTACTGTGATTTTTGAGAACTTGCATGCGGTACAACATAGCTTCCATTAGCTTGCTTCTCTCACCAACTGCGGTGTGCAGCCACTCCGAAGTGTCCTCCAAGCGGGAGATGCGTGTTTCAGCCTCCGTTAGCCTTTCTTGCATTGCAGCCACCGCTGTATTCAATTCCGACGTCATCTGCTTTATTGTGGAGACATCAGCAGCTACGCTTTGTAGCATGTTACTCATTTTAACCACTTCCGAGCACAAATTTGTTGTATTAGGAGGAGGTGTTTCCCCCCCGTTCTTCCTCACGTGGAGGGCTGTTGCGGGTCGACATGCAGCCTTTACTCTTTGAGTGTTTCATTGCGGCCATTGCAGGTTTAAAGTACTTTTTTTTAAAAGAAGAAGTCCACAAGCCTACACTGCTACCTCACTTGCTGAGAACGGTATCAAATAAGAGCCCCTTACTACAATATCGTCATCTAATTACATGTCGGGAATGGAGAGCCGTTAGCCAGCTGCCATCTTGTTTGCCTGCCCACGTAACTCTAAAATCGTGACTATTAAAGAAATAATTATTTTTCTTTTTATTCAGTAACAAGATTTTATTTTTATTTTTTGCATTCATACAGACGCAGCATGAAGCGCAAAGCCTCCTTCACCTGTCCGTTCAACGGGAGCTGCACCATCACAAAAGACAACCGGCGCCACTGCCAAGCATGTCGTCTTAAACGCTGCATCGACATCGGCATGATGAAAGAATGTGAGTATGGTGATCTTTCTGCTGAAGATGTGCTCCCATGGTGGGGAGTTGGAGGTAGGAGTGTGAGGCCACAGGAAACAGGACATGACGATAATAAGGCTTGTTTCCTCTTTGAATTAGTCATGATTGATATAAACTTGGTCAAGAATTGTTGTAAACAAACATGCCGCACTATCAAACTATGTCATAGAAATGTCAAAATGTATTCAAGTTACATTGGGACTTGGGATTACTTTGAGCTAGTCTTCAAATCTGTCTGCATGATTGGTTTGACTTCGGTCTTTCCAGGCGAGCAGAATAGACTCAAAAGGTTTGTTAGTACACTGCTACCAGAGCAGGAAATGAAGTGGAAACTGGATTAGTTGTATCAGGTTGTAACAAGGTCAGGGAAAACAACAAAACACACATTCAATAGATCAGCTTTTGCTTACTGTTAGATAAAGATATTCATTACAGATTCACATTTTCCTTTAGTCTGTAAAATACCCACCAAAAATTAGAGCTGACTCTGCATGAATTCATTCCTTATAATCACTACTAAGAAAAGACAACAAGAATATTCATTTGGATCAGACTTTTAAACAAAGTAATTAATGCACTGCTGGCTGGAAGAAACCTCTGTTCACCCCTTTTATTTGTGTAGCTGCGATTCACAACAAATCCCAGTTGAAAGCCATTATTTCCATTAGCAAAACAGGTTTCATTCGTAACCAAGTGTATAGAATCCAATTTAGACCAAATTCATAATCAATGCGGTTTGATCTCATCAGTATAGTTATAAAACCAAATTAACTTTCCCTGTTAAAGGGTTGGGGCTAACATGTGCGTGCGTGCGTGCGTGCGTGCGTGCGTGCGTGCGTGCGTGCGTGCGTGTGTGCGTGCTTGTGTGTGTGTGTGACATATTGTTAAGACTACAGTAAAGCATTACGATGGAAATTGTAAAACGTATGTTTCCTGGAGTTGGATACCAGTGTGGTATTTGGTTCTAGTCCACACGCAGCCAGATATCTAGGAAAACTAACACATTTTTATGCATTTTAGCCTTTTATCCACACAAAAAAATTATTACTTATAAAAACTCTAATAAAAGTTGGAGTTTTTAAAACATGGAGATTTGAGAAAACGCCGTATTTGTGTCCAGGTCCTTTGGAAAACCAAG